GAGACCTGGGATCTAATTAGTTCTAAGATTCCTCAAGAAATCAATGAACCCGAGACTCAAGTGAGCGAGGAACTTTTAATAAGTTCTACTGGTGATGGGATTAATTTAAATCGATCTGAAATAGTCGTGGATAATATTTTTGCATATAATGTTACACTTAACATTATGCAAGATAGTCAGGATTTTGAATCCCGATCTGTTGAAGAATGTCGACAAAGATCTGATTGGCCAAAATGACAAGGGGCAATTTAATCATAATTGAACGCACTTTCTAAAAGAGAGGTCTTTGGACCAGTAGTCCAAACACCTGCTGGTATAAAACCAGTTGGTCATAAGTAGGTTTTTGTGCGAAAAAGAAATGACAAAAATGAATGTCACGACCCCAATTTACCCTCTGTGGGATGTCGTGATGGCACCTAGTCTCTAAGACTAGGTAAGCCTAACAATTTGCGAAATAACTCAATAACAATATGTACTCAAATCTAAACACATGATATATAAATAGAAACTATGATTTAAATAATTACAACTCCCAAAACCCGGTAGAAATAAGTCACAAGCTTCTAAGAGAAAGTCGTAAGTGTCTCTATACATCAAAGTCTAAAGAGAATACGGGAAACAACATAATAAGGGTAGAGGGGGACTTCGAGGTCTGCGGACGATGGCAGATATACCTTTAAGTCTCCACGTACAGTCTAGCTCACTAGTATCTGGCCTGGTAGGAAGAACCTGGATCTGCACAAAAAGATGTGCAGAGTGTAGTATGAGTACACCACAACGGTACCCAATAAGTGCCAAGTCTAACCTCGGTAGAGTAGTGACGAGGTCAAGTCAGGGCCCTACTGGTTTTAAAAGAAAAATAAGGCAGAAGATATAATAATTTTTGAAATGACTGAAAATTTAAACGACGAGAAACTTCAGAAAATAACAACTCAACAATTAGAGGTAAACAACCGGGGCACTCCCGAGGTACCGCCTCGTAGTCCCAATGTAAATATGCACAACATGGGGGATCTCCGGAGGTACCACCTCGTAGTCCCAAAGTAAATATGTAAAACATGGGAGATATCCTGAGTAAACACCTCATAGTCCCAAAGTAAATATGCAAGACAAGGAGATCTCTCGAGTAAACGCCTCATAGTCCTAAAGTAAATATACAGTACAAAGGGATCTTCCGAGGAACCGCCTCGTAGTCCCAAAGTAAATATGCAGTATAGGAGATCTCCCGAGGAACTGCCTCATAGTCCCAAAGTAAATATGCAAGACAAGGAGATCTCTCGAGTAAACGCCTCATAGTCCTAAAGTAAATATACAGTACAAAGGGATCTTCCGAGGAACCGCCTCGTAGTCCCAAAGTAAATATGCAGTATAGGAGATCTCCCGAGGAACTGCCTCATAGTCCCAAAGTAAATATGCAGTACAAGGGGATCTCCCAAAGTAAATATGCAGCAGATAACCGAAGGACCAACGAATTTACAGCAAGAAATCTTACACTTAAATGTTTAATTCAAATCAATGGAAAGCATGTAATTCAACTAAATATGTTGCACAAATTGCAAGTAAGAGTTAAGGTACGTAGGCATGCGATACTAGGCTAAACATGATCAATACATATGCTAAGGCAACTCAGTTAAGGAATTTAAAAGAAGACAACTCAGCAAGAACCAAAATTTCCACAATTAGCTCGTGTACGCACTCGCCACCTCGCGTACACGGCGCTCACATATCACAAATTGTTACAACAGTACCAAATTCTAGGGGATTTTCCTCATACAAAGTTAGATAAGTCATTTACCTCAAATCTCGCTCAATCAGTCGATAAGGATGCCTTTTCCTCGATTTTTCGACTCTGAATCAACCAAATCTAGCCAAAAGCAATTACATATCATGAATATAACTACAAAAAACTAATTTAAATAATAAATCTATGACTTTAGAAAAAAATCAAAAAATCTCCCCAAAAGTCGACTTGGGCCTATGTCTTGGAATTGGGTAAAAGTCACAAAATACGAACACCCATTCAACCACGAGTTCGCCCATACCAATTTTACCAAAATCCGATACCAAGTTGCCACTCAAATCCCCACATTTAACTCTCCAAATTCCTAGCCTCAAACACCCAAATTTCACTTTAAACATACACAATCTAGGTGAAAAAATCAATGGGGAAACAATATTACTGATTAAAAATAAGTATAAGAGATTTACCTCAAGAAATCCCTCGAAACTGCTCTCAGGAATCACCAAACCCCGAGCTTAAAATGTTTAAAATGAGTGAAAATCGCGAACCCTTGCATTTGAGTGTTTTGTCCAGCATTTTCGCTTCTGCGGCGTCGCAGAAGCGACAACATACCCGCATCTGCAGTTCCCACGCTCTTGCGGTCAACTCTTCCGCATCTGCGGAACTTCCACTTCTGCGGTCCTAAATCCGCTTCTGTGGACTCGCTTCTGCGAGACAAAGACCGCTTCTGCGGAGCTCCCCTTGCCAGGTCCCTTCCGCTTCTGCACTGCCTCCTTCGCATCTGCGATCTCGCAGATGCGGAATTTTCCTCGCATCTGTGACCTCTGCCCACACTGCTCCAGCCGCTTCTGCGTCCCAAATGCCCGCTTCTGCAAGCTCGCACCTGCAGTCAATCTTGCACAAGTGCGATTACACAAGAGCTGGTGCTTTCAGCCATTCACACAAGTTCAAATTTGATCCGTTAACCATCTGGAGTCCACCCGAGGCCCCCGGGACCTCGGCCAAACATACCAACCAGTCCTAAAATATCATACGGACTTAGTCGAGCCTTTAGATCACATCAAACAAAGCTAAAAAATACGAATTTCACATCGATTCAAGCCTAATGAACTTTATAACTTCAAACTTCTACATCCGACGCCGAAACCTTTCAAAACAAGTTCGATTGACCTCAAATTTTGTGCCTAAGTCATAATTGATATTACGGACCTATTCCAATTTTCGGAATCGAAATTCGACCCCGATATCAAAAAATTCACTCCCTGTTAAACTTTTCAAAAATTATCCAATTTTTCAACTTTCGCCAATTGACGCTAAAATGACCTACGGATCTCCAATTCAACATCCGAACATTCTTCTAAGATCAAAATCACCTTACGGAGCTATTGAAACCGTCAAAACTCTATTCCGGAGTCGTCTTCATACAATTCAAACTACGGTCGATTCCTACGATTTAAACTTTTATTTTAAGGACTATGTGTCCCATTACACTCCAAAACCAAAAATAAATCCTCCCGGCAAGTCACATGACCACAAAATGAAGTAGAGGGAGCAATAAATAGGGGTTCGGGGCTAACATTGTCAAAACAACCGGCCGGGTCGTTACAATGAAGTTGAAAAATACAAAGGTCGCATTGTCGCACAAGGATTCTCACAATGACCTGGAGTCGATTATGAAGAAACATATTCACCCATTATGGATGCCATAACATTTTGATATCTCATCAGTTTAGCCTTAGGTGAAAGGCTTGAAATACATCTGATGGATGTGGTTACAACTTATCTATACGGGTCACTTGATAATGAGATTTACGTGAAAATTCCTGAAGGATTTAAAATGCTTGAAGAAAATTCAAAATCTCGAGAAATGTATTCAATCAGATTACAAAGATCTTTTTACGGTTTAAAGCAATCTGGGCGCATGTGCTATAATCGCCTTAGTGAATATTTGTTGAAAGAGGGTTACATAAATGATATTATTTGTCCATGTATTTTTATAAAGAAAATGACATCAGAATTTGTTATACTTGCTATTTATGTTGATGACATAAATTTTTTGGAACTCCAGAATAGCTCCAAAAGGCAATTGAATATCTTAAGAAAGAATTTGAGATGAAAGATCTTGAAAGACAAAACTTTGCCTTGGTCTGCAAATTGAACATTTAGCATACGAGATCTTTATACATCAATCTTCCTATACATAAATGGTCTTAAAACGCTTTACATGGACAAAGCACACCCATTGAGTACACCAATGGTTGTTCGATCACTTGAAGTGAATAAGGACCCGTTCCGACCTCCAGAAGAGGATGAAGAACTCCTTGGTCCTGAAACACCCTATCTCAGTGCAATTAGTACACTTATGTATCTTGCTAATGCTGCAAGGCCTGACATAGCATTTTTTGTTAACTTACTAGCAAGATATAGCTCTTCTCCTACACAAAGACATAGGAATGGGATTAAGCATATTTTTTGATATTTAAATGGAACACTTGATATGTGTTTGTTTTATGCTAACAAAGGTTGTGCAGATCTTGTTGGTTATGCAGATGCAAGTTATTTATCTGACCCTTATAAAGCTCGATCTCAAACCGGGTACGTGTTTATATGTGAATGTACTGTCATATCATGACGCTCCATAAATCAATCTATTATTGCTACTTCTTCAAATCATGCTGAGATAATAGTTATTCATGAAGCAAGTAGGGAATGTGTAGGGTTGAGATCAATGATTCATTTTATTCAAGAAAAATATTGTTTGGAATGTGATAAAAGATCTACAATTTTATACGAAGACAATGTTGCATGCATAGTCCAATTAAATGGAGGATTTATAAAAAGAAATAGAACGAAACACATTTCACCAAATTTATTCTATACATAGGATCTTCGAAAAAATGGTGACATCAATGTGTAACAAATCCGTTCAAGTCACAATTCATGACTCAAATATTTAGAACAAGATTATCTATCATAAGGGAGTGAAATAGGTGGGTTTTTCTTGTAAGGTCTTTACTTTACTTGTCTTTACTTAAAAACTCTCGATTGCAATCCGTGCAAAAGTGCGGGGATTGAACCCGAAACACGCAACCTTTTGATCTGGAGTTAGACGCACTACCATTGCGCCACGGAACATTTTCCTATTAAATATTTTATAGTATTTACTTGGTGCATCAACATTAATTCCGTAAAATCATCACACTCGTGCAAAAGAAAATTTATATCATTTGTATATACATATACCTAATTACAACATATGTAAACTGAAAGATTCCAATTCATAGAAAAATCACATTCACTTTATTACTACCGAACAAAGTTATTTTTTAAAAAAAAATTTGAACCAGTGACTACTCCATTTTCTTCCTTTTCTTCTCCTGCATCTTGTTCTTCATTTCCTGCAGCTTGTTCTTCATTTCCTGCGCCTTCTGCACCACCGTGGCATAACATCTTTGATACCTCACTCTTACTTTCTGCCCCCACTCCTTAATCTTGTGCTCATATTTCACATATACAAATGGTCCAGTCAGTCCCACCACGACACCTGCTCCCAAAGCCAGGGAATTAAGTATGAACACATAATTAAATCCTTCACCAAAAATGAATTTACTCTCTCTCTCTATATATATATATTAAGAGATTGTATTACCAAAGTAGAGAAGCGAAAGTAAATCAAAGTAGCTAGCAACCACCGAGATCAAGCCCAAAGAAGCTACACTTCCGGCAAAAACGAGCCATTCTTTCTCGGCACTCACGCTAAATACTAATCGCAGGCTTTTTTCCACATATTCCTGGATTTTGGCCCCCATTTCCCTAGCTGATTTCTCGCTTATATACATCGCTGACATGTCCACTGGCTCTCTGCAGAAATAGTGACCGCACTAATTAATAGTAATATGTAGCTACTACTCATGTTCAAAGCTAAAATAAGCAGAACATACACAAATATATATATTGATAGAACGATTACTAAAGAAAAATTAAGTTTGGCGGATGCTTACTTCCCCAAAAGCCTATGTATGTTACCCCAGAAAAAGAGAAACGCAACCGCGAGCATGGACATCCAGGAAAAGAGTGTCACGAATTTCAATTCATAGACTTCAAGTGCTAGCCATATGGCTGTAGCTGCTAAAAGTGTTAGAACACTCAAATTCTTCCTCTTCCATAATATTACATCTCTGACTATATCTGAAAGATATACCGTAAAATACTTGTATCAGTAACTTTACGCAAAGAGACCAGGTGAAGAAGGAAAAATTAATTAAGGCGAGTGGGTTATCAAGGAGAAATGAGACTAACGTAACCTGTACCGTTGCTAACATCACGAGTTGGTGAAGGGGTTGGAAACTCTGTTGAAGTAGTGTGCATGTTGGATGCTGCAAATAAAGCAAAAATTATAGACAGAAAGGGAGTTAAGAAGGGGATCTTTCACTGGACAGTACTGTGACAATTGAGTTATGGAGATACCTGAATCGTTGCCAATTTCACGAGTTGGTGGAGAATCTGTTGAAGTCTGCATATTGAAGGCTTCAAACAAAGCAAAAAATATAGACAAAAAAGGGACTTATTAAAGTTTCTGGTACACTTTGAAAGAGCAATTTGAGATAGGTATTGTGTTCAGCTGAGAAATGTGAAGGACAACAGAGTGTAGAACAACTGAGCAGGTCATTCGAGATAAACACATGGCGCTCAACTAGACGAAACGTGGACCGAAACCATGCAGGGTCGCGCCACGATGTAATATAATGATCGTCATCTAAACGGGCTGCTTGTAATTAAACCCACTCTACCCATAATGCCAGGGCTCGCATTCTTATATTTGATAGAAGAATTAACTCAAATAATAGCCGCCAGACGTATAATATATGTATAATTAATATATAATTTATATATACATACTAAAAGAAGTAAATATTGAATATGACCGACTATTTATATAGCTAAAAGTCCAGGCCCTATAGAGTAGCAACTCGAAAAGGTCTTTACAAGGTTGAGATCACAAAGCTGGGTGAAATTTAAAAATAGTCAGATTTACAAGTGGCAATTAAAAAATAGCCACAATTTTAAAAGTAATTGAAATTTAGCCACTTTTTATGTAATATACTGGAAGTTCATACACAGGTGCACCAATCTCCAGTATATTATGCTGAAATTTTCCGTGTTGCAGTAAAATAGTAGTTATTTTTCAATAACTTTGCAAATATCGGCTATTTTTCAATTACCAGTCAGAAAACTGGCTAGCTGGTGCTATTTTTACCTCAAAGCTGCATCAAAATGTTGGGCCGCACCAGAATGTATGGTAAAAGAATCCTAAGCAAAATAGCCAAGGTGAGACCGGCCATCAATTCTCTACTTGCACTGCAATTTCCTAACATTTCAGTGACATAAGCTTTGTTGTTAAAGGAAATAATCTCCTATTATCATTTGCAATTTGAATGGAGTAAAAATGATCTAGTTTTCATGTCGTAACTCGTATGTATCCATCTCTCGCAAAAAAAACATATATAAAACTGAAACAATATATTTTAATGAACTATACATCGATCTCATCTTTATTTATTTTTTTAGAGCAAATTCATAAAAATTCAAATTTCGCGTCTGTTAGTGTTAGGCGAAAAAGGATTTTTTAAAAAAATTTCTATAAGAGCAGCCTATTTCTTTATTAGAAGAGTATTACGAGTAACGTTATCGACTGCTTTTTAATAGACTAAGTTAGGAAGCTAGTTCTTGAGGGCATTGCAAATCAAAAGAAGGTAAAGATGAGACTTTAGTGCAAGTGAATTGCGCGCACCTAAGTGGTACAATGCAAAGTTCAACAATTTCATTATTCCGTGGAGAAAGGTTGATGGCTTTTCTCAATATTTTGTTTCCAGGGTTTTGTTTCTTCCTCGAAATGAATAGAATGCCCAGTAGCAGACGATGACCTTTCGAATTGCGACTTAAAGATATCCAGCGTGTGGTTGCCTTTGCAATGTGATAAAAAGAAAAACAAAGCGGAGAAATGAAGAAACAGACATGCCACGTGCAAGCTCATCACAAAGTTAAGAATTATGCACATACACTTCACTTTTCCCTTTTC